AACAGAATACAAAAAATATTATTTAATAATTATATAGAAATTACAGTTTTTTTTTTCAGGAATTTTAAGACATAATGCCATTTACAAATCAGCTAATTACGAAGAAATTATGATTTATTGTAAATAAATGCAATGAAAACCTATGCGAATATCTGGATTTAAAATTTAATTAATTGTAATTTAAAACAAAATATTTATTTTTTTCATGTTAATTGAAATATTTGCTGATTAATTTTATAAAATTTATAATTATTTCTTAAGAAATTACTTAATATTTTTATAATCATTAAAGAATTTTTGTATTTCAAAGTACAAATTGGCTCACGATTTTGTTAACATTAAAGTGAAACAATTAATCTAATAATTTGTCAATGTTAATTGTCAAAATTTATTAAAGTTTTAATCACGTTCTGTCAAAGCAAATAAATTGAAAATAAAAATACATAATTGAATATTATTTTTTATATTATCATTTAAATTGAATTTTATTAAGAGATTCTGAATTGAAAATAATATTATATGTTTACAAAATATTGACGTAAAGGAGAGAGAGAGAAAGAGAAAAGAAAGAGAGATGCAGATTTATACAACAAAATTTTGCAAGTTTGTATTTTGTGTACTGTAATACATTACAAGAAGCACATGTAATTTAATAGTTTTGTTCTGGTTCCTGACTCCCGAGTAGTGTTGTCAATTCTTTCTTGCTCAATTTACCACCGTTAGTTTAAAAATTTTCATTTTTTCCTTTCCAAAACCCTATTCTTCCCATATAATTTCCCATTAAGAAATTTAAGACTGTACTTAAATAAAATACGTATGTACGTATATAATAATTTTTCCAATTGCATAACTTAATAATGATAACAGGTAAATAATATTATATAAGTTTAAGAGCTTCAAAATAAATAAAAGGACTTTTTATTTTCGATCAAGTGAAAAAGACTTTTTATTATCAAAATGCATTTGGTCATAAAGAAAAGATTTAAAATTTAAAAAAAATAGTATGTTAATCAATTAATGAAACGTTATCAATGAAATTTCCCACGATTTTTGGGTTTTTTCCCTTTAAGGCTTTAAAATTCCCACAAAATGGGAAATTTCCCACAATTTAACAACATTTCTCAAGAAAGAAGTACTCTCTCTCTCTTCAGATTACATTACTTAAATATTCTTTCAAACTTTCAATTCAATGTCAAAACTATTTGTCAATAAAAACTTTGACGTATTAGGTATATATATGTTGTAATTTTCCTCAAATTACTTAATATTGTTTTAACAGAAATTAAAGTTTTAAGTAGTTTTAATGACCTAATCAAAAGATTTTATTAAATTACATCAGTGAGCTTCTAAAATGTTGAGATTTTTATGAGATTTTTAAGATTTTACTAAGATTACATGTAAATTTCTTAATACAAATTTAAAATTAATTTTATTATATAGATTAATGAGCCTGATAAAATGTCGCACTTTATTTTACCCAATTTTAAATAATAATTTGAAATTTATGCTAAAACAAAAAATTTGTAAGCATTTTGTAAATATCATGTAAAATTTTGTAATCTCCTTTTTTTATTTGCATGCAGGTAAGATGTCAAAAAACAAGGTATGTGTATGAGAGAAAATTATGAAACTAATCTACTTGCATCCATCATCATTATTATATGAAATTTTTTTTTTATGTTTCTCAGGTACCCAAGTAACTATAAGTTGTTGATTTTCACGTAATATTACATGTTAGGTGCTAAATAGCTTTATTATGCATATTTTTCTATAATTTCATCTTTTATCGCTAGATATAAATTCTTTTATTAATAGCGATCCCAACTATAAATTATATGCGATTTCTTTTTCATCATTAAAATTTTTCTTTAAACTTTCAATTTTTTTTTTTTTTTTGAGTTTGTTTCTCATCTTTCATCATTACTGAATTGTTTTAAAACATGACAATAGATAAAATTGATGTAGTTAACTATGGGATAACTCATAGATATTATAAAATTTATAAAATATTTTTAATATTGAATTTAAAGTTATCCTACTTTAATCCATATTTGCGATTCTGTAAACCGAAAACCGCATAAAATTAAACTGTAAATTTTATGGGGCGTATAATTTGAATATCTACAGATGACAAAGAAATGTCATTTGTGCATTTATAAAGAAGCCTCTCAAGCAATAATTTTAAAGATGATTGTTTTAAATAAAATTTGTGCAATGGCAGTCATAAATTTTAAAACATTTAAATATTATTAGTTAGAGTTATGAATGGAGAAAGAAATTCATAATATTTTAACACTATTTATGTAATTAGGAGAAATAATGGCGCATGATTCTATATGTAAAATTTTTTATAAGTTTAATATAATTGCAAAAATTTTGAATTCATTTACTTATAAGATAAAAATAAATTTTGTAAAGCAATTTGTAGTTTCTTTTAAATACACACATATATAGATATGTATGAATGTATGCATATGTAGGTATTATGTTGCAAGGTATTATTTTATTCTAAAAAAACTACAGTGCCACCTTGAAAGAGGTACATTCACAGTCCCACTCACAGTCCTTGGCCCCTATGATGATTGTTCAAACATTTTTGCCCATTCGAAAAATAGAATTTATTGATTATAATTTTAATTTATATACTTGCTTATGATGGATGAATTGAATAATATTTTATATTTTAAAATCTCTCTAGAATTCAATTATAAATTTTCATTGACAGTTTTGACAACATTTTGACATAATTTTAAGAAATGTTGATTGCATATTTCAATAATACTTTAACAACTATTAATATAGCAGTCGATAGACAGTATTATCATTACGATAATCACGAATAAACAGACGAGTGCCATCTATGAATTATAAATAAAAGCTTTTGTGACATTTTTTTTTCCAAATTTTCAGTTTTTTACTAAAATAATTGATTTGACCTTGTAACGATTATAAATTTCAAATTCGATTTGCAAAAATATCGATATCAAATTCTTATTAAGTCAAACAATATCGGCTGATTGACATAACTTGGATTGTTTTCCACCAAATAAAATCAAATATACAAGAAAACTAAAGTCGTATTTTTTTATACAAGTATGTATGAAAATTGCACAATAGGGTACAAATATGAATTAAATTTATTGTATAGACTTCATTTACTTTTTCATGTTTCTCCTCTTCTTTTTGTCATTTTATTACACAAAAAAAAATGCTAAAATTATTTATTATTTGTCACAAGATTTTATGGGCTCCTATACCTAACATCTATGTTTTCTACATATACATTTTATTTCGTGGTTTGTTACATGATAACAATTCATTTCTGTTGAATGAATTTGAAATAAACTCGTATTAGATCATGATGAGTGATGATGAATAAGTGTGCATCGTGACATAAAGCACAGGGAGTAGGTATAATGTAGATAATTTAATTTGAGTTAGTGTGTCAATAGTGGTTGACACAAAAATTTATTTTAGAAGCATTTTTTTTTTGTGTAAATTTAAATTTTTGCTTAAATTAATAAATTTGATAAAATATTTAAATTAGGAATTTGTGATTATAAGATTATGGGAAAAAAAACTCACTCGATTTGTAAGAGAGTTTATTTACCTATACTTTTTTTTTTGTTTTTGTTCGTTTGTACTGTTTATATTAATTGCACTTATAGGGTTAATAAATAAAGCCCACATACATAATGACGCATGAAAAGTATAGTTTTTGCAATTAAATAAAAGTTGAGTAATAGAATTTAGGTATTGTACGTGAAAATTTATTTTTTCATTACATGAAGTAAAAGAGTATTGTAGGGTGCATGTGAATGTATATATAGCATTTTGTATTGTTTCTGGGTGAGATAATGAGTGATGATTTTTGAGGAAGAAAACAATAATGTTAATATATAGAAGAAGAGAAGATAATGTGCATTTTGCATTAAAATTTTATGTAAGCGCTAAGCATTTTTTTTTTCTCTTTCATTTTTACGTATATTTGAGAAAATTTTAAATAATATAAAATATTGCCATTGTTTCTTTTATAGGAAAAACAAGGAGACAATAATGGAATTCGATGAGAATTTCGGTTAGTAGAATGCAATGTAGCGAAATGAATACAATTTTGATTGAATGTGAAAATTAATTACGAAATTTGCAATATACAATTAAAAGATAAAACACATAACTTAACTTGATTTTATGTGAAACCAAAAAAAAAATTGACATTAATTTGAATAATAAATTTGAAACCGCAATGGTAATTACATAGGTGCGTATAATGATTAATTTAATCGCATTTTATATTACAAAATGCATAATAACATATGATACGTTTAATAATTATAGTGAAAATTATGTAATATGTTTGATATTATGTAGTTTTCAATAAGAAAACATAAAAATATGCAGAATGAACGGGATATATGTGTCATACATGTGAGAATATCTTAGATTTTGTATACAAAAAAAATATAGCCCAAGAATTTTCGTTTAACAGCTTAAAAAGCTAAGTTATTCATTCCGGATATAGTTAACTGTATGAATTTGCTTTCCTACAATATGTTTGATTACAGAAACAACATGTTTGATTGCAGAGTAACAACGTGTTAGATTGTAGAGTATCAACATGTTTGATTGTAGAGTAACAACATGTTTGATTGTAGAGTAATAGCATGTTTGATCATAGAGCAACAACATGTTTGATTGTAGAGTAGAGTAGAACTTGTTTAAGTAACACAACGTTTGATTGTATATTACCACCATGTTTAGTTTAAAAACAACTTTGATTGCATTCTAACTATAATATATAGAGCAGTACAATGTGTATCTAATGATATGTTGTTTTCAACGAATTATTCGTAACAAGATCAAAATGTAGAAACTAAGTCAATAACGTAATCATTTCTTTTGAATATTTGAATAGTCTTTTTTAATACATGTAAAAATTTGCATCATTCAAATGGATACAATATATAAAACAAAATATGAAACAAAACATATATACTTACGCATATACATAAGGTCCTAATTCATCTAATACAGCTTTTGTTCCATTATTTAAGAAATCATCAGCATTTGTAACATTATATACATAAACTTTAATCATTGGTTCAACTGGTGGTTTTGCCCACCATCCAAATGTTTGAGTTCCATTTCTAAGTGCAATTTGATGATCTATAACTAATCTAACTACTGACATAAAACCACATGTGACTAGAATACCCAATATTATTAAACATAATGCAAATGCTATCGCAAACCCTGTAAAGAAAAACAAGCAACAAAAAAATTTAATTAATATTTTAAAATTAAATAATTGAATATTTTTTTAAATTGAATTGACAATTTTTCAATTTTGCCAAACGTGTATAGTACCTTAATCCTCTCTCAATTGAAATTCGACTTTAAAATCATTACAAGTCATAGCGTTTGAGTTTTAAATTTGTTTTCATCAATGAATTTTAAAAGTATATTTTCTTATTGTTGATAATAAATTGACATGTACATACTTCAAATGTTGCCAACAGTAATTGTAAAAAATTTAAAGGTCAAATTGTTTCAAGTAAACCGAATTAATCAAAATATTAAGCATACATTCAAAAGGTTATTGGAATTTCGTAAATATTTATTAAATTATCGGCTTATACAGAGGAAATAAATCAAAATTAATATAATTGAATTTTAAATTCATTTTCAGGCACAATAAAGTATTAATCTTTATTATACTGAGATTTATGAAAAAAAAAATTATCTGTACTTTTTTTTTCATCTATTGTAACAGAATTTTTTTATTACAAATATAAAACTAATCAAAAAAATTATGTAATCGATGAAAAAACAATTCGAGAAAAAATAAAATAACTAATCAAATTTTTAAACGCAATAAATCAGTCATCTTAGCCAGTTTCCGGAAGGTAAAAATTGTAAAACCATAAGATTTTAACAAATTTTAACAAAATGCAAGTGAAAAAAACACAAAAACTCATTAATTTTAAATTAAATTAATCTTCGATTTACCACTATTGATGGATGTGAAAGAAAGAGATAAAGAAAAATATTCACTTTTACAAATTGTTTTCTTATCTATTCAAATGTGTACGCTTAAAATTAATCGAAGATTTTTTTATTATTTATTTTATTGAAATTCCACAAGAAAAACTTCCTAAAATTAAAGAAAAAAAAAATTTTTTTTTTTAATTGTTTTAACTTCCCATACTTCTCCAAGCCTATAAGAAAAAAAATCTCACCAGGGAGATAACCTTCATCTATTACAAAACAAGAAAATCAAAACTTTTTTTAATAATATTCTTAAAGACAGAAATGAATGCCAACAGAAGCGCTGCTATCGCTTTTTACACTTTCAATACAAAAAAAAAAACAAAACAAAACAATTAAAAAAAACCTTCATAACCATTGTGAATGACCATATGGTTACCCAAATCTATTTTTTTTTACACTAGCTTTTTATTGGTACACAAGTGTAAGTTTTTTTTTTTGGTGAAAAACTAAAAGCATTATTCAAAATGCATCGCACACCACAAATCGCTTCACGCAGTTTATTGAAGGTAATGAAAGCAATTTCAATTTTTCATTTAATATTTTTTTTTAAATAATTATTAATTAAAAATATTTTATAGAACTGCAATTATGTAAAAAATAATAATTTCCTATGTAAAATTTTCAAACAGCAGAAAATGGAAATTAATTTCTTATAACAATGGCCCAGTATAACACATTTTTTCCTTAATTTAATTAAAATTTTTTATAATTTTCTTTTAACACTTTTTCATTTGTTTCACGCGGTCTCAATATTTTTCTCATAACAAAGCAATATTAAATATACCCTTGCTTTGATGAAAATATTTGGTAAATTAGGGAGTTTATGAAAATTTTGTACTAAAAAAGGTACATTACACTGCAATCTAATCATCTAACACTCCGGGCGCATAACACTCTCAACATTACCACGCGATTGCACCTAAATGTAAAATTTTCCCGTAGGTGTCTTAATATGGTTATGATTATATGGAAAATAAATTTCGAAATGAAAATGTCCCATAGAAGACGTTCCATATTAAAATGTTCCATTAAAATTTAGAATATTTTGTCAACTACTCCAGAGTAATTTAGAGTCTTACAGAAATAGATCGTATGCAATGTCAAAATTTTTTTGGACAATATGACAGAACTTACCTATACACTGCTATAACAAGTAATACCATAAATTGAGGAAAAAAATATTTCTGTATCTATGGTAAAGGGTTCCAGGAATGCAAGTTGCATATATAAAGAAGATAAGCATTTTAAAACACCCTGCATTCTAAAATGAAGGGAAATTTTATTAATACGAATGCACAACTATTTCGATGTCAAAAACAAATAAATTTTTTTTTTTGTAAATAAATTTTATATTTCAATTACGGAGTTTATTTGCCCAATATAAAGCTTACAATAATTAATTTATTAATTTTTTTTTTATATAAATATAATATTAAAATTCTATAAATACCGGTTTTAATAATAAATTTAAATTAGTTCTTTTCTTTTAGTATTTGTGACATTACATTAAAAAAATTACTTGCATAATGCCTAATAATTATAAATTCTGGTATTTTTTTTCTTGGGCCAATATAGTAAACTGGTTTCCTTTCATATCGAACATAATATTTCTATTTTAATATTAAATATTTCCTATAAATTGTTATTTAAGTGTAAATAAACTATGATAAAAGTAAAAAAACAAAGTGAAAAATAAATTCTTTAAACAAGTTTCTATTACTGTCCGCTAGTTATAATAAATTGACATTTAATATTCATGGGTTACACAATTATATTTAAAGACTTAATTAATATAGATGAATTAATTTTTAATTTTTTATTAAATAATAAAATTTAAAAGGATTTTACATAAGATTTTTATTAAGGTACATATATGTATTCATTTTTAGCAGATATAATAACATTATTGTATAGAAAATGTAGTTCAAAGGACAAGGGCGATTAATTTCTTGTAGAAAAAAAAATTGTATGACTAATATCTTCATTGCTGAATTGACATTTAGTATGTCAATAACTCTAGTTTAGTATGACAGTTATTTTTACTTGGATGTCATCTATTGACAAACAGCTTTATTGCATTCTGAAACGTAACATCAGTTTTGTTATTATTTTTTTATTATTTACAAAATTGTACTTATCACCTCATAATTAATAGTTTTCATTTAATTTCTTTATATAAATTCATATAATTTCTTTATATATGTACAATTATTATTTATTATTAGAGGGCTTTTAAGAATTTGAAATATTCATTTTAATTGTTATTTGTTATTTACGTTCTATTGCGTATCGCAGTCACTTAATGTGACAAACGAAATTTAGGCTATAAAAAGGCTTCGATTTGCATTTTGGCTTTAATTTTGCTTTTTCATCAGTCAAGATCAAAAAAAAAATATTGAAAATTATTCTTATAAAAATTTTTTCAGTAGAAAAATATAATTTCTAAAAGTTTTGTGCAATATAAATTGTTGACAAAACCGTGGATAACAAAATTGTGTTCATATACCTTTCTAAATTCTGCGGTTACCTGTTTTTTAGATGAATAGCTAATCAATTAGTCAGTTAAGGTGTCAAATAACCGAACTCGTGAGAACTCGTCAATGTTTGTTTCTCTGATCACTATAACTAGAGCCTAAACTTTAAAACAATAGAAACGCATAATGTCTGCATACACTTTGGGTTTCTACTGTAATATTTTTTTAATCTGAATTTATTTGTTTTTTTGCTTATAATTTTTTTTTAAGTTTATGTTTTGGTTTCTGATTTTTATGTTAACAAATTGTTCTTGTATGAAATATAGAAATTCGCTTCACTTTTTTAAAAATGGCTTCACTTTTTGAATATTTCGGCTCCCCATTCAAAAAATTAAACGACAACCCTGGCGACACCACTTTTCACAATAAATTTACTAACGGGATTTTTCATGAATTTCTAGTTTTTACGTTTTTAGATTTTTAGTTCTTCAACATTATTCAAACAGAGCCCGATGATCCGAAAAATAACTCTTTAGCTAAAATTTATACACGATATCAGTATTTGAAAATAGCACATAATTCAAACATATTAATTAACAATATTAAAAAAATAGCAATTATAATTAAATTAATAAATTTAAATTTAAAATTACTACACAAAATTATAATAATTTTTTCCCATATACTAAAAAAAAATAAATTAAATCATTATTTAAAATAAATTTTCTGACATAGTTAGCACGTTATAGCATACATATACACATACAATTTTAGCATAATCAAACTGACATTTACACTAAACATAATGAACACAACTGCAAATGTGCATAATGAGAATAAAATTATTAAGTATTTTGAATGCTTTTTTTAACTCTTTTGTGCATATTTTAAGCGTATGTGATTTTAATGATAAAATGTTATTGTCAAGTCTCAAGTATTTAATTTTTTTTTTTATTATTACATCTCATTTACCTGTGCAGAAGATCACATTCAATGCAAAGTATTTTTAGAAAATCGTTTTTATGTTTTTTTTTTTCTCTTCATTTTTTTCATTTCAATTTCAAATCAAAAATTTCGGTCAAGGTTCATTGTTTATTAGATTAGAAGTAAAGTAATTTTTTAATACTCAAAGTTATTTTAACAATAATTTACTTTTGCTTTTTTAAATATTAAATAATAATCTTTAAGATCTTGGCGAGTGCTTTATGAAATTCATTAATTTTAATTTTTTAATATCTTTCATTCTACTAAAGTACCTTGTATAGTCTATTTTAATTGTTTCAGAATATTTAACGAATTTTAATATTGAAGCAGTTCTTTTAATATTTAATAATATAAAATAAATTAAATTTAAAATGACTAATTAAATATACACATACACAGAAGCGGATCTATCACATATGCAAAGTAAGCAATTGTAATGGACGCCAGAAGGCAGGAGCACCGCATTGAAAACTTAAAAAAAAAAACAAGTCTAAAAAATAAAAATATCTTTCAATTATTTCCATTAGATAGTTTTTAAAGTTGTTTTTCTATTTACAGCAATAATAACTTGATAACATCTACAAACATTGCTGAGCACAAAGCTGAAATTTTAATTCCAATCCTTAATTCTATGACTTATCTTGTTGAATGCATGAAAAAATTGTAAGAAAGTGATTTATTATCATTATGCGCAATGTGTAATGTGTATTACTTATTTTTCACTCCTTTAAAAAAATAGCGGAA